TGTAACACTTAGTATATCAAGCAACCCACGCTTTTTACTCTGAATTTAATTATTCTGTTAATAACTTAAATTTTATTATAATTTTATTTTGAAGTCATCAAAAATTATTTTCTACTTTTTAGTTCGGAGCGTGTTTTTTAGTTTTTTTAAACTGTTATTTATTGTTCATTTTTTAGTGCGATTTACCAATTAGTGTTTTGTGAACATATGATATTGAAATGTCTTACGAATCATTTCGTAATCTAATCATTTACATTTAAACCTTCACTGTTGCGTGATGTTTTTCCTGTTAACTTAGAGCAATCAAATTCTTCAATCCGAATACCGTCTAAAGATCTTACACGACTCAGTGCTACATAAGCTTGTCCAACAGTAAACATCTTGTGGACAGTTGAAGCCCTACCATGGATTAATGACAACATTAGTCTCTCAGCAGTTCCATAGCTGTATCGATATCCGTTTAGTCATATTCACACGTAATTCGCGTGTATTAGACTCATTCATCCTGCGCATGTATAAGGAATAAACAAGGTGAGATTGTACTATTTTGAAAAAGTATCTGCCTCCGTTGTGGTGTGCCGGGTTTCCGAACCAACAAACCGAAAACTGCACGAATGCGCAGATCGCGTGCTAGCTCTGTCCGTTTTACTCCTCTACAGAGGATCTATAAAAGAATTTATCAATACTGGCGGTCCTAGTAAGTATAATGGAAAACCGTTATCAAATTATCACATTGTCATCGGTCCTTGATAAGTCAAGTAAATCAAACTTCTGGAAATTGGTGAAAATTATGCTCAAAGATTTCGTTACATACGTATACACACCCATAAATACATATACAGGGTGTCCCAGAAGTCGACGTCAAGCCGAAACCGGGTGATAGGCAAAGTCATAACAGCTATCAGAAAAATATTTAAAAAAATTTTATGTATGTGTTTTGAAAATTATAGGTCTTTGAAAAAAATATAGAAATTTCACACCCTACGGCAGTCTGTCAACTACTGTTACTACAAATATTAACTTTTTTTGGATTTTATTTTTACAATGTAACGATGAATAATGCATCTTCAAACTGGTGTCTCAACCTTACTGCCAACTTTTCTCGTTCAGGAAAAATTGCCACTTATTTCCCAACCAAGTATTCCAAAGTAGAACTTTGCTCAACTTTAACTGGCTGTACTGGAAAAAATGTACTACGAGAGTTTGGCAAGTAACCTTAAAAGTCGGCGCATTTAATAAGGATTCCAAAATGGTATAACACTTAGAAGATTACTCGTTAACTTATGCACAATTTTTATTTGAAGAAAAACTGATGAAAATTTTTCAAAATTTCCTAATTAAACAGCGATTATGAAAACGCACAAGGACCCTTAAGGATAACTGTTTGCACAACAGTGGGCGTCAAAATGCTGATGATGATGATTTACCTTTACAGCAAATGCTCAAACTGTTTTCCTTCAGCCGCAATACACGCTCGACATCTTCTTAAAAAAGATCGGGTTATTAAACGAGCGAATCCACGGTTATTAACAAACTCAGCTGAGTGGCACGTCCTCCAATAAATTTTCTAAATGATTTTGCAAAAAACCTAAATAAACCTCAGCAGTCAAAGTCTCTGGGAACTCAAACGGACCGATTATTTTACCATTTAAAATTCCTGTCTAATGGTTTATCTTGAAGCGATATTGAGATTTATCTTCTCTCATCAAATGTGGGGGTTTGCTACGTGCCACTCGTGTAATGCAGGTTCATGTACCCATCTTTCTTAAATGTGGTCTCATCTGACCATAAAATTTTTTCAAAGAACCGTGGATCTTCCCTGTGTCTTTCTAACATTGTGCGACAAAAAGCAACTCGGGGCTCATAATCCCGGGGCAGAAGAGCTTGAACACGCTGTACGTGGTATGGATGGAGCACGTTTTTTTGCAAGATTCTATGGGCTGTACTTTTGGGCACACCTGTTTTTAGTTCTATTGCACGCACTGAAGTACTCGGGTCTTCTTCGACAGCTCCTAGCACCACGTCTTCGTAAGGAAGGAAACATCTTCCCTCCCCGTGTGATTGGTTTGGTAGTTGGCCCTCTGAGAACAGTAAGTGTTGCACATTTGTGAACACCCGATGATCTGGATGACGAGCTGCATTCGGGTACCTCTCACAGTAAAGTCTCGCTGCAGCACTAGCGTTGCATCTGCATTCCCCATAAATGAGGTGCATGTTAGCATATTCTTGTACGGTGTACACGAACATAGCGGCACTGCCCAATCACACTATCAAATATAGTCTAAGGAAAGCAAATGTTGTTTTGAAGAGCAATTAAACAGTTCAAATCCAAATCACAAGCGATCAACAGTCCAGTTCACGAATCCAAAATTAGTAACAGTACGAAATCAACAAGCACGAACATGTAAAGATGCGCAATAAACGAAGGAGTACTGATCGGTATCAAAGTGTGCAATAGCAAGTAAGTGATGTGCTTCATCCATACCACATACAGCGTGTTCAACCTCTCCTGCCCCGGGATTATGAGCCCCGAGTTGCTTTTTGTCGCACAATGCTAGAAAGACACAGGAAAGATCCACAGTTCTTTGAAAAAATTTTATGGTCGGATGAGACCACATTTAGGAAAGATGGCTACATGAACCTGCATAACTTAGACGAGTGGCACGTAGCAAACCCACATTTGATGAGAGAAGATAAATCTCAATATCGCTTCAAGATAAACCATTGGACAGGAATTTTAAATGGTAAAATAATTGGTCCGTTTGAGTTCCCAGAGACTTTGACTGCTGAAGTTTATTTGGATTTTTTGAAAAATCATGTACAAAATTTATTGGTGGACGTGCCACTGAGTATTTACAGGGACATGTGGTTTCAGCATGGTGGCTGCCCAGCGCACTATGCACTCTCAGTGAGAGAGTATCTCGATCAAAACTTTCCACGCAGATGGATAAGGCGGTCTGGTACAATACCGTGGCCAGCCCGATCACCTGATTTGAATCCTTTAGATTTTTTTACTGGGGAACTGTAAAAGAAAAAGTGTATTTCAAGCCGATTCAAAATGTAGCTGAGCTACGGCAAAGACTATTGGAAGCAGCTGAGTTTGTTAATAACCGTGGATTCGCTCGTTTAATAACCCGATCTTTTTTAAGAAGATGTCGAGCGTGTATTGCGGCTGAAGGAAAACAGTTTGAGCATTTGCTGTAAAGGTAAATCATCATCATCAGCATTTTGGCGCCCACTGTTGTGCAAACAGTTATCCTTAAGTGTCCTTGTGCGTTTTCATAATCGCTGTTTAATTAGTAAATTTTGAAAAATTTTCATCAGTTTTTCTTCAAATAAAAATTGTGCATAACTTAACGAGTAATCTTCTAAGTGTTATACCATGTTGGAATCCTTATTAAATGCGCCAACTTTTAAGGTTACTTGCCAAACTCTCGTAGTACATTTTTTTCCAGTACAGCCAGTTAAAGTTGAGAAAAGTTCTACTTTGGAATACTTGGTTGGGAAATAAGTGGCAATTTTTCCTGAACGAGAAAAGTTGGCAGTAAGGTTGAGACACCAGTTTGAAGATGCATTATTCATCATTACATTGTAAAAATAAATTCCAAAAAAAGTTAATATTTGTAGTAACAGGAGTTGGCAGACTGCCGTAGGGTGTGAAATTTCTATATTTTTTTCAAATACCTATAATTTTCAAAACACATACATAAAATTTTTTTAAATATTTTTCTGATAGCTGTTATGACTTTGCCTATCACCCGGTTTCGGCTTGACGTCGACTTCTGGGACACCCTGTATACATACAGGAAAAGCTTATAAAGCGTGTTAACAAGTCAGTTAAACAGGTTCATACTATTAGTCCATAATCATTATTTCTCGGCCTTACCGGTAGTTCATCAGGCAACGTCTGGAGCAGGGGCAAACGCGGCCTGTAAGTACGAGATCCGTCTGCTGAGAGTATTTTTATAAGAATTAAGGTCTATTCACACTCAGCCGTGACGTGCCAGTGATTCTCACTGACGTGAGCTCACAGTGTTTTCAATTCACATCGGTCAGCATTTTTCTCCGTGCTCTGACAGTGCAGATGTGTTCACGTGAGGTCGAGATGGCAAAATTTTCAGAGCATGAACTTGCAATTATTGCATTAATTCTGGATTTTTTTTATATTCCGACTACCACGAAGGCCTTAGGCCTAAACACCCATGGGGTACCGTAGTGATAAAGGAGGAAACACAGGGGAAAGGGGGGACGCCACACGGACTCTGGCGAGGCAACACGTGTACATGCAATATGCATACATTCTGGCCCCGCCTACGAGATCCACCGGGTGCTACTGCTACCTCCGCGCTCGCCAGTCAAAGACCGTCTACCACCTACGAAAGATGAAGAAGAAACGAGAAGAAAACGGAAGTCCGCGTATTTTGAATTTGACTGGTTTTACAGCACGGGATGTACGCGTACAAATTCAATTAGTTTTTCATCACCAATTATATCAAAATATTCACGAAATTACTTAAAAACACGACCGTGAAAAACGAAAAATATTGTTCCAAAACAATGCGATGATCACGGTACGGCACGGCCACTTCCACGTGCCGGTCTAGTGTGAATCAGTTCATCCAAATTCCAGGAAGAATGTTTTTAGTTTCGCCTGGCGGATCACGTGCCGGTCACAGCACTGACACGTCCCGGCTGAGTCTGAATAGGCCATTAAGGGCTAATGTACGGAGAAATATATATGTGTGAAATGTATCTAATAAGTGCGCCAAGGTTCGGAGCGTATAAATATACTAACATCAAAAAAATGAGATATACCCTCCCCATCCCGCCACAAGCCCTAATTTTTTACCTCTAAATAACAAATCCACTGAAAGTCATTCTCCATAAGGTCGCAGCGGTGTCTTTCTCGAGCACCTTTAGGATGCATTCATATTATGTTTTATCTAAGCAGCTTTGAGAAGATCATAAAAAACATTAATTGCAAAAAATATTCTTTTCAGCGTTTTTAAGATGGCTGAAGCAGTTGTGAAGCACGATGAGCACGTTACAGGTAAGTTTGCAGATAGACAAAACAGTTTCATAATGTGTATGATTAATCTTTCGGATCCATGTGAGATTATGTTTAACGTAGCCTTTACCGGTGTTATTTGAAATTCGAATGTCGACAGTGGGGGGGGTCTCGGTAACGGAAACAGATACGAAGTCGGTTAAATGGCATGTACATTTTTGCATTTAGGTAACTACCACAACCAGTACATTTTCCATACACCTCCACCCATCATCGACAATACCGGGTCAGTCCTCGAAGCAGGTAACGTTCGTCAAGTTAAGTGGAACCAGTCTTAGTCTAATCACATTAGCAAATTTTCCCGAAATAGTGTTGGCAGGAACGAAAAAGCTCTCCAAATAAGATTTTTATGTATCCCTGAGACCTATACGTATAGATTGGGGCCACATGTAAAAAGATGCCACTAATATCAGAAAAGTTATGACCGAAAACCGAGGCAAAGTGCAGGTTTTGGCACTTGTTGCTAATGTAACAATAATTTATATCTTATAGGTATGTATTTTTAAATTATTTGGAGATATACAAGTTAGTACGAAAATGCTTTTTAATGAAACACTTTATCTTTTATTAAGTATATTCAGATAACCATTCTTATAAAGTAGTATTAAGCCTGATACCAGGAAAAACTTATAAAGACGTGAACCCTACGGAATGTTCCATTTAGTATTTCTCTTCTCTTCCCGAAATTCAGTGAAATACTAAGCAAAATGGCAGAAGTCAAAGCCTTCAAGAATAGGCATTTTTTCAGACAAATGATAAAATAACTAAACAAATGACGATCAAAGTCTTTCAGTATATTATATCAATCTTCTCGTTTTCGGAATGTCTTTCAATATAATATAGGGTGTTCCGTTAAAAACATGTTTGCTGTGGCACGCGGAATTACGCAACATTCTGTATATTTTCAAATCAGTTAGGAGTACACGCCAATAACATCTCAATCTTTTTGCGCAAACCATTTTCGAATGTCTGATAGCTCTTCTATTTAAGAGCCTTACATTTTCTTTGGGGCACCCTGTATATATTGGAAGTGTTCAAATAGTTTCTATTAAGCTGCCTGAATATAATAAAGACGAGTTAGTTTTTGTAAAATGGTGCCGGCTCGTCCACAGTTCGCCCACAGCGGCTAAGGGCCGTATAGTTCGTCGATAGTCTAGATTACGAGGTTATGTTTTCTTTTCGAATATTGAAAAATTTCCGGCTAATAAGACAGATGATAAAAATCAAGTTGTATGAGCCTGAAATTTCTTAGAATTCAAAAAGAAAATATAACCTTAAAATAGAATGCTGATACAACCCTATACAATACCTAGAAATACCCCAGCTTTTCTGAAGAACAGGAAGAACTATGAAAATCAAGGAGATCGTACAATTATAGGAACGACTGACGATACGGCCCTAAAGCACCAAACTTTAATACCCTGTATCTCCAACAGATAGCATTTCTGGACTTTGCGCCCATTGGACTATTTGCCATGTTTTTCCGTGTTGGGTAGACCCCCTACTTACCTGATAGTGATTTCCTGTAAATTTCTAACTGTAGTGAAGTTTAGTGTTAAAAACTTAAAGTAAAAACACATGTTAATTTATACATTTATTAATTGAATTTAAATTAAAACTACTCAAAATAAAATTTTGTATCTGTTATGTAAAATATACGTAACATTAAATAAACAGGTGTCTGACCAATAAGTGCCCGCATTGGGAATAAGTGCCCACATTGAAAAAAAATAAGAGGGATAAAATAAAAAAAAAAAGTGAAAAATAATAAAAAAAAAGTTTTTCACCTAAAATAGTACAATAAGCGAGTTCGTTTATTAATTATAACATAAACGTATGTTCTACAATAATTTCACTGTTAGTTTGATTAAATTCCGCTTCTTATACGTTTAAGTTATCTAAAAATAGGCAGAAAATTAACAAATTTTAGTGTGTACCTATCCTTGAATTTTCAGAATAATTTAAAAAAAAAATATTTTCTATAAAGGGGAGTTCTTTAAAAAAATCAATGCGTGCACTTATTCCCAATGCGAGCATTTATTGGTCAGACACCAATAGACATAAAATAAACTATAAATAAAATAACATAAGCAATAAGTCAATATTTTCAGTGAGAAGGATGAACCTGATGCTTTAATAATAAATTATCAACATTTGGCGTCAATTTTGTAAGGGTTAATCTTAAATCTCCTCGGCTAATGATGTCCAGTCTGTTTCTTTTTTTCGTTAGGAGATTGGTAACAGCGCTGAACCCCCTTTCCACTAGGTATGATGATGGAAAGGAAATTAAAAATTTCCTGGATATATTCCATAATACGGGATAAGTAACGGGTATGTTGTTTTGCAGCCAGAATTGCTGATATCCGTTTTTAAACTGAACCTTAAGTTCTTCGTTTGTACTTAGTTCAGTCAGTTCCTCTTGTATTATGACATTCGTTTCTTCTATGTCACCATATGGATTAATTATCCACGGTGGAATTACCATAGTAAAAATATCCTTAAACCTAGATTCAAAATCTGAATAGAGGGCATTTAAATGTTGAACGTAAGTTGAAACGTCGTCATCCTGGCAGCTTGTCTGTAACAAATTGGGGAACTGAGAAAATTCGCCCCGTCCAATATTTTGCTTCATTAGTTTAACTTTGGCAAGAAACGCTGATAAGATGGACTTTGTTTTAATCAAATTTAAACTGTCGCCTTGTAATTGCAAATTAACCATATTATATTTTGTAAACAAATCTGTTAAATAGGCGATGTCTGTTTTCCTCTTCATTAAATTTTTTTTTAAAATGTTATCCTTAGTATCCAGAAATTCTAAAATAGTCTCAAAAGGTGCAAAAAATCTTGTCAAAAATAAGCCTTTCGATAGCCAGCGTACTTCAGTGTGAAGGGGTAATTGATGAAAGTGTTCGTCATTTTCTTCACACAACTGCGCAAATAACCGCGTATTCAACGCGTTGCTTCTGATTCGGTTTACTGCATCAATGACTAAATGAAGTGATTCATGCAATCTAACACTTAAATTTTTAGCAACTAAATGTTGTCGATGGATGACGCAATGTATTGCTAACACCCCTGACACATTTTGTTTTAAATAGCTTATAAATCCACGATAACGTCCAACCATGGCAGGTGCTCCTTCTGTAGCTACTGATATTATATTTGATAAAGGAATTGCTTTTTCAATGAAGTAATCCTTCAAAACATGAAATATTGATTCACCTTTAGTGTCGGTTATCAAAATTCTTGCGACGAGCAGTTCTTCGTAGATTTCTTGATTCATAATAAAACGAACATATGCCAATAATAATGCTGCATTATCAGGTAAAGTTGACTCGTCCAGTTGTATAGAGAAATGGGTCGTTTGCAAATAATTACATAAGAAGCTTTCAGTATCAGAACTCATTTCATAAATACGTCTTTCAACAGTATTGTTGCTTAAGGGAATTCTTTTAATGATATCAGATGCAGGTTTGTGTAAAACAGTTTTTAAAACCTCTTCAACGGCTGGCAAAATTAACTTCTCTCCGATAGTATGCGGTTTTCCGGATTTTGCTATAAGTAACGAGATATTGTAAGACGCCCGCAAACCATCATCATTTCTTTGTGACGTCGAAGCGAACATTCTGTCCAGTGTAGGTCTCTTCTGAAATTTATCTTTGAGTGTTTGAAAGTATTTCAAATCTTTCTCTGTTTTATCAGGGTGGCATCTTCTCAGATGATCTTGCAGTTTAGATGGTTTCATAGCGTCATTGCCCAAAACTTTGTTGCATAAAAGGCACATAGGCGATTGTTTGTCCGGCAATGATGGAATGAAGCCAAATTTCAAATAAATAATCAACACTGTACTGTCTACATTTCTTTTTAGATTCGGACATGGCATCAGTCATCTGTGGGCAAAATGAAATTATTTAAATAAGACAAAAAATCCAGCAGCTGTATATTAAAAATATTTTTTGATATTTCCGAAAACATTCCATAATTCGAACATCTTCTTGCAACAATTAGCTCGAATTACGGAGATTGCACTGTAATTATATTACCGATTGCTGAAACTTTCAAAAAGAAACTATTGAGGAGTACTCGTGTAATTTTGCATGATTGAATATTTAACTACTAATAACTAAAGTCATGATTGGCGTGATTTATCTATCTTTGCGAACTACGAGTACAAAACGAAAATTTAATAAAAAATAATGTACTTACTTTTCTCCAGCACTCTCAAACAAAATAACACTGACTCACTATAATTTGTGTGATATACTGTCTGTTTATATTTTTTAAAATATTTTCTTAGCACTTTCCTTTTCAAGATTCAGGAAATGAATAAACGTATTTGTCCCACATTCGTATTTATAGAGTGACGAATTGAACAAGTCAGTGCAAGGTAGCGAAGCTCTGAGACTCTCAGTTTTTTACAAGTTCAAAATGTATTGCGACCACAAAGCGAATACCAACATCCTACAACTTACACAATTTTATAAGCATATATAATAAATTTTTTACTTCATAGGTACTTTTATAAATAATGTATATGTTTTGATATTATAAGATAGTATGATGTAAGTAAATAGGTACTATCAGTGTATGTGTTGAGATCCACTATCGTGGACCCCCATATTCATTTCATGGACCCTCAAATTTTTTTTCGCTGACGTAGACCCCTTGCAGGTTGTCATAGACCCCTAGGGGTCGATATAGACCACTTTGGGAATCAATGGTCTACATGCTGCCCGCTGTACCAACAGTCAGTCCTGTCCTTGCCACGTGGACGCGTGATATCTTAACCTACTTTATTCCTTTTTTGGCAAATTATTCGTTTTAAAATACACTTGAACCATGATTGAGTGGAGCAGTGATCAAGTATTGAATTTTTTAGAGCTATATGTGGCTGAATGATTATTATGGGATGCTTCACATAATGATCACAAAAAAAAAAACATAAAGTACATGATGCGTGAACACGGATAAGCGAAGGATTAAAAAACATCCCAATACAAGAGGTGAAGTCGAAAAAAACGCTAATGGCAACATTTCGGCCTCTATTAAAAAAGAAAAACGCTTGGATTAGGTCTGGAGCGGGTGCAGATGAGGTGTGTCTGCCCATTTGGTTTGCATTTGATGCAATGGAACATTATTATAGTTTTGCCGCGACAATTTCTACGTCCTCGATTACTGCTGGAGAACAGTGCGGTTAGTAGGGTGGCTGCATGTAAACAGTCACTTGGTCCAAATGCTGCCGTGGAATTATTCACGGTAGGACAGTGAGCAGCGAACCCGATATTAGAGATTTAAGGAGACACATTTTGTTAGTAGGGTAAAGTCTTTCTAACGAAAATGTTTCGTTTGAGCTTCTCCGTTTATAATAGGTCACTGTTTGCAGTATGGTAAACAATGTGCATGTTTTAGTTTCTGTGAATCGTCGAGTTTCATATGAAATTATTTATTTTGCATATTGTTTATTACCTTATCTGTAATTAGAGATTTGCCTGTTGAGTTGGTGTATTTTTCATTAAATAAATAAATTACTGTGATTCCACTGGCAACATGACTTGGACGATGGCAATTGTAAGTGAACGCCCAAATACACCATATCGCTGGGCATCTTTTTATATCAATCATTGCTCAGATCTATCAGTTTCAGAGTAAAAATAAATGATTTGTCATTATTGTTTTCCTTGCTAACAATGGGTAGAAGTGTGTATCATTTTGTGTTCTACCTACTTGAATCCGAATCTAGGAGGCCCTTTACCTACATTTCCCCAAAGCTGATAGCCTTATTATTTCTAGATTTCGAGGATACAGTAGCCAGACTCACTGATGCTTTTCCAAACTTAAGTGTCGGGGTAATACGGAAGGTTGCGACTAGTTGTCGTAGGGACATTGTTAAGATGGTCATGCGGTTGTCAGGTAAGGTATACGAGATTACTGGTAGTTCGTCATATTCTCTCAGGGACGTGCATATGTATGGGCGACAGAAAAAATTAGATTTTTTAGTTTTTGTGATTTTCTGAATCTAAATAACAAAAAGTTATACTGTGACATTACAAGTCCTACACCCAAAAAAAAAATTTCTTCAACTTGATTTGGCAATGAGGTAGTTTTTATTTCCTCTGAGTGCGCCAGCCTATAAGTTATACTAGTTCATTATTTCGTAGAAAAAAGAGCAATAAACAATATTAATAAAAGGCGAAATGAATGTTATTCACCCCACTTTATAAGGAATTGAATAATTAAAACATTCTTGGTAAAACTAAATAGGGGTGCATAAAAGAACTTTGCTCGTATTTATATCATGTATTGCTTGTTTCAATGCAAAATATTGATAACCTTTAAGGTCGCAAAACATATTTAGTTTAAATTTAGGCAATATTAGAAAAATCTTGATGAAACCAAATGTATAACCTTTGAAATTTCAAGCAATTGAGGTCGATGAGCAGCGCAATGCGAAAGTTGAAGAATCAGGAGCACTTATGCCTAAAACAGAACAACCTTCAACTTCAGGAGTAGGACAAAAAAAACGGTAAGTAGGTATGCTCAATTTGAGTGAAAGAATGCACGAATTATGATCAAATCAGACTCGTAAAGAATAGATTAGACTCTTAGCGTGGCAAAGTTGTGGAAAAGATATTTGGTGCGAACCTAGTTGGTGTAGAAAAAACCGTGGCACTTCGAAGCTCTGAAAAATCACACGACATGGATGCTACTATATGTAAAAAAACATAATTTTCTAGAAGATGGCCTGATGCCGATTCACTTGACTAGCGGCACCTTTACTCTAACGCTATTGTTTTTCTACAGGGCAATATTTCCAGAGTAGAAAGTCTTTGACAAATGGGTATCATAGTATTCGTTATCAGCGATCTGGAAAACGTAGAATAGATTTATTGTACAACTACGTGGATCTTTCTAACTTTGGTCCTATTTTAGGACCTTTGAACCACAGTGGCATCGATCGCGTGTAAATACGTTCCGCATAAAGTTTTCGCACAAAATTCAATGGATTTAATTTTAACAAACACAAAATAATATAAATTTGCCTTTGGAAACAAAAGACTGTTTACTTACTTCACTGTCAGTTGACATTTATTTATTTTCTCACTATAGAGGTACTTCGATAAAGTCACAAGTGAAGAAATACACCAGTGATTTCAACATAGAGGAGTTCTTGGAAATGTTTCCGAATCCAGAAGAGACATTCCGCAATCCGGAGCGAGGGGAAGACGTTCTTGATTTGACAACCGCAGATTATGTTGTACATTTCTTCATGAATAAGTACCCATTCATCTACAAGAGCCACATCTCGTTTTTGCTATACCAGGGACCTACGTAAGTAAAATATATACAGGGTTAATCATAATAGCTCATATTTGTGTCACGTAATTAACTGCTGCATAGGAAAACACATCCTCCTCACATGTGGAAGGTTTTCTCGAATTTTACCATTGCCAAAAAAGGACAATGCGTCTAGCTTTGATGAGTTGCGTCTAATACGAAACAGTATCGAAGATATTTGAGAAAATTCTTATTGATCAACTGAAGGAAAGTTTAGGAGTTCAGAAAGATACAAAACTAACGTTGAAAGGTCATGTATGTTGTATTCAACACCTCTTTTGTATGTGTGTGTGTGTGTGTGTGTGTGTGTGTGTGTGTGTGTGTGTGTATCTGATAGTTTCGTACAAAGCCATTTTAACCACTGCGACGTTTTGTATAGCCTTTATTTGAACAAAATGAATATGGCTCGGATAGGACGCGTTCAAAAATCTTGCCTAAAATTGAAGGGCTTATTGTAATGACGCGGTAAGCCACAAAAACATAATTCGGAGTTATTATTACTAGCCTTAATCTCTATAGACTATTCGAAAGCCTTTGACAGCATCAATCATAAATTATTACTTGCTAAATTAAATTACATAGATCTTGACAGTGTATCCCTTTCATTTTTCGACAGTTACCTTCATCAAAGGACTCAGTGTGTTTTTCTTAATCAAGAAATGTCTCAAGTGACAATAATTCCCTCAGGCGTACCTCAGGGCTCTGTATTGGGGCCGCTTCTGTTCCTCATATATACGTTCGACTTAAGCAAAAGTATTGATAATTCTCATGTCCAGTCATTTGCAGACGATACGCAATTGCTTCATTATTTTAACCCAGATAATGTCAATAATACTACTCAAATTTTACAAAACGATGTTAATAAATTAATTAAATACTCTTTAGATCATAATCTACTTATTAATCCACAAAAATCTAAAATTTTGCGCACAAAGAAAAACATACAATGTAACACAGCTCTTGAACATTTAGATAAATAACCAAATCTTGCAATTTTCTGATTCTGCAATAATTCTTGGTGTTGTTTTTGATACAAAATTAAGGTTTACTGAACATTTAAAAGTCTATCTCAGAAAACCTACCTACGACTGCGCACTCTTATAGCAAACAGGTACATATATACTAAATTTTAAGTTGCGTAAAAAACTATGTGAAGCTGAAGCATTGGTCATATCTATACTAAATTATTGTTTTATCGTATACTATACTTGTTTAGACAATTTCACTAAAAACGTTATTCAAGTTATTCAAAACAATTGTATACGATTCATTTTTGGCTTACGTAAATTTGATCATGTATCACTATTCAGTTTTTGTTCGCAAGTTGCTGCTCACGTCTAAACCTTATTACTTGAAGGAAAAAATTTCATATAATAATGATGTTCACTGTAGAACTCTCAGAGAAAATAATATTAGAATACCCCTGCATACGTCTACACTTTTTAAACGCAGTTTTTCTTACCATGTTGCTATTATTTATAATGACCTTCCTAAAGTATATAAAGAATTTCCATTACCTGTCTTTCGACAAAAAGTTAAAACATTATTACTCAACCCTCCAAACATATAATTTAAGTAATCATTCATTTCTTTTTTATTCCATCTTTAATTCAGATTAATAATTTTTTGGTGCATTTGGGTTTGGAAAGTATGCCTTTTTCTCTTTTTTTTTTAAATTTTACTTTCGATGTAATGAACCAAATCTGTTTGTGGATAGTGTATTCTTTTGAACATCCGCTAGAGACTATATGGTTAAGTGTAAGAGTAGAGGCATGCTAAACTTCGCCATGTAAGTCTGACATTTGGCTATACTACAATGCAATTGTGGATAAATAAAGACGTCTATTATTATTATTATTTGGCTTTTAAGTTTTGAACAAATGTGTAAAATCAACGTTTATCATAATTAAACTTGAATAATTTTTTTTGAGGCTATTAAATCCGTTTCCATTGAATCTGTTGGAGAGGAGTGACAATAAAAACTGGTATCTCAAAAAAAAATTATTTACAAAAACAATGTGGCTTGTCATATTATTGCCTATAAAAATATACAGTCACATTTTTATAAGAAAATGAGAATTAAACTCTACCGCACTTTTCTGCTATAAGATTTCAACATCTTCTTCGTCACTTTCTCTGGAGTTTAGTCCATTGAAGAAGGGTAGATGTATTGGTGGTATATATGGAAAAAGAGATTGTACATTTTTAAGTTTCTTCACTGAAATTTTTATTGGTTCCATGTACTTATTTTACAGCATACATAAGCGTGTATTCACAGGCCTATCCTTTTTTGTAATATTCACTTCGCTCAACAAAAAATGATTTTGTATTTTTTGTTTTAAAATGGAAGGTATATACACCAGAGAAGTCTCTCTTTTGTACGTTGGCCAACAGTAGTTCAAAACCGAAGAAATCTTCTTGCTGCATAACTGTGACCTTCAAAGGATTCTTGTTGTTAGCATCGTTGATGATTTTGTGCCAACCTTCTGGAGAATAAACTTCAGGAGCATATTTTCTATGTCGTTTTTCAATCAACGCGAAGTCACGGTCCGACGACAAGTGGGTATGTCCAGTAACAAGAAAATGATGTGTTATTGTTTTAAAGCATGTCTCTTTAATTAATTGCAACGAAAATGCCATAAGAAGCCAATTTTTGCTTTGACCAGGACAGTTGACCGTGAATACAACGAGGTGACCTACATCCTTTTTATCTTTAAGAAACTTAAAAAGCACACAAGCTACATCATCCGATCCACGATTGGCTTGATTTTCTGTCCATAAAAACATGTGACCCTGTTCAGCTGTATAATCGTGTACTTCAAGGTTATAGAGATAAACTTTTCTGCAATAAAATGCTGGGCCTGTTGTAAGCTTAGGTATAGGCATTGCCTGCTGCAATTCAAAACTGATAACATATACGTTTGTTGTATTTTCTGATCGTTCAGTCTCTAATTTCAGCAAATCTTGCATAGCTTTAGATCTAATTTTGTGTGAATTCAAAAAAGTAGTCAGCCTTTGTTCCTCTTTGTCATCGTTGTTTGATTTAGCAATATCAAGCTTGATCTTTGACTCGTCACATATTTTACACGTGTCAGACTTGGGCAGCTTGAAACCGAAATTATATTCAGTGCAAAATATTTTGCGGTAAGTAGTTTGTTTAACTGGAATAATGTTTTGTTGTTGACACCACCGAACATAATAATCCTTATACAAGCTTGCTATGGTCATATTGCAGCTAAGATACATTTTGTTGGTGTTATTTGCTCTGCTATAGTGGCTCTGATATTTTGGTGTCTGTTTTCATGTTTATCATGTCGGTCTTTTATAGGGACAACAGCTGCTCCGGTTGTCTTCATTTAGACAATATGATCGATTCTGCCTCGACAATCTTGTAGACCATGGACACTCATAAATTCGACCTTACATACACTGACATCCCTACCATCAACATTTACAATATATTGAGCTGTAAACTAGATTCTTGATGTTTTTGTTTTTTCTTGTAAGATCTTTTCTTTTTTTGAACTGGAATAGCACCAAAAAGGTAACTGTTCTGAAGATCATAGGAACCTAGATCCCACAATTTTGTCAAGATATTTTCACGGCTATTACTGAGCTTCTCTCGGCAGTTCTTCTGGATCTACATAGTGAACCCAATTCTCGAAGCTTAATGAGTTTCCTGTTCTTTACTGTTGAATATTCTTGCCCTAAATTGCGTCGTCTTTTCCTTTTCACCCGTTCACAATTCTCGTCCCTTCTTTGCCTCCAACAAGTTTGTGGAGTTTTTTCGGGTGTAGTTTTAGTAGGTACAGGTGAATCGCCTTCCTAAAATTAAATATTCTTAATAGCAACAACATGATAAGCCACGTTCAAATTCGCGACAGTTTTGATATGTTAAAACATTGTTAGCCACAAAAACAAAAATAATACATACTTCACTTGTATCTGAACTTTCGTCATCATTTGATGGTATAAAATTCCTATCAACCATGGTAGTGACCATCACTTGATTCATAAGATTCACTGCTTGAACTGCAAATATCGCTTAAGGCGGCTCCGACGCAGTGAGTTTCAAGCCGTTTACAAGGGTTCAGCCGCTTCAAAACTGACACTCCATTTTTCAATATTTTTGAATGAAATTCATACAGTATGTTGAGAAGATAATTGCCCAGGGTGCTATAGGAGCACTTTTTGAAATTTTGTTTTTGCACAAGTTTTATGATGGGTTGAAGTGCGCACTTTTTCTGTTCAACTTGGCGATTTTTTTAAAAAGAACCTAGAGAAAAAGTGGCTCTATAGCACCCTGTGGGGTTTTGTTTTCAACACTCTGTGAAAATTTCATCCAAAAATATCAAAAAATAAAGCGTCAATTTCGAAGCGCGCAAACCTCTACAAATCGTATTTTGGACGAATTTTGTCTACTATTTCGTGCTGCCAAACCAAGCGTTGCGGCGCAATGTACGGACTAAGAAAGGACGTATTCAGATAATTTGGTGGCCCGATTTCATATGATATCGCGTAGATAAGTCGTTCTGCAAATAGGTACTCATAATCGCGATCGCTGATACTCCTCGATTTTGGCGAGGAAGTATTGTAATCGCTAAAATGAGGTGTTATATATGTTTTTTAAGTCATATGACATCTACATCACGAAAAACTGTAGCACTCATCATCAACTAGGAAATTACCGCTCGGATTTTTATGAAATTTCCACACGCGATTACTAGTATGCCAAAGCTTTGTAGTTTTAGTCCAGTGGCGACGGTGCTGTAGGCAAAAAAGAAAAAGTAAATATTGCTGAAACTCCGTTTTTGACGTTTCAGGGGTTCCTAATCATTGACATAAAAAAATTGTACTGCTTAAAAAGGGGGGTTGAAATCAGTGAAACACGTTCTATTACTAAGAAGCTTCTAATCCCAGTGATTACAGGAAATTTAAGTATCGAAAATCCGACGAATAATGTGGTCACGATTTCAAAAAATCGGTACCCGCTCTATGGGTTTGACACCAACAGCCAACAGATCTGCAACTACCGACAGTAGGGAAGAATAAATTCAGATATTACTCCAGTCAAGTATAGGGGAATTTAGCGTGGAACTTTAAAATTATCGATATGTCAAGGAAACATGTTTTTGAGAATGATCATTTGATAGATTTTATACCTGCATTTTCATTTGAATTTCATAACCACAAAATGTATTTGGACCACATGGCCGCTCGGTATTGTGGCTCACTACAGCTGCAGCACATCTGTCAGGGTATGACCTCTTCTTGCAATAGTTTATTCGCTTACCCCAATGTATTTTGCGATTCATCATAAATTAAACTCACTGAATTCGTAATTAAAATAGTCGCATATGACCTTTTATTGTCCATTATCAACCTTGATAAAACATTCACTCAAGAACAATCACACCAACAAGAGTACCACAACAATTCAACAACACAATATCGACGAACAGTAACAAGGGTAGAACAATACTAAATGATCGCTGGCTGAGTACCAAAATAGGAAACGATTTACAGGCCTAATCGAGATCCGACTCTGTTATTATGAAAATTTACCTCGGTAGGCACCCGCAGTCATCCTTTCCTCTTTTAAAGTAGCGCCGACCACCGTCTAAGACCAGCCCACAATCGTTTCCTTTTCACCCACCCCCCCCCCCTTATCACGTTTTAACGTGAAGCTTGTGGAGAACCGCGTAATAGTATTAACTTGATTCAAGGCATAGTGGCTCCATCTATAGGAAAATAGTCACAACTTTTCTAGTGTGGCTTATCATATACATGCTTAACTAAATTGAGCAATAAAACCGTTGTGTGGCTTATCATGTTGTTACAATAAGCCCTTCAATCTTTGGTATTAAAAAGTTTTGCCGAATATCTTGTATGCTTAATGACTTGAAACTGTTATCAATTGCAAATTAACGCAAGCGACACTCATCGGTAATATATATATATATATATATACAATATAAAGGCATATTTTGGTACAAATCTTGAAGTGGGCCAACTGAAGTGGGAAAACTCCGATTTCTAAATTTCATGTTGATATCCCAAAAACCAATTTTGAAAATTAAAATTCAACACCCTGTATCCCACTAACGAGCGATATTTTACTGAGGCATATTTTTTCACGAGCTTAATCTAACGCATCCATTCCGGACCGGCACGAATTCCATGTTTTGTAGGAGGCAACCAAAGTGCAAAAGTCTACTTAAGGTGGATGAGGAATTGCAGCAGGCAGAGCAAAACGATGAGCAAATTATGAAGTGCCGTCGAAAACCAACAACTATGAGGGTTGATCCAGGCGAAGACATTCGACTTTTACAAGAGGTAAACATTTAAGAAAGGGCTTTGCTATCTACATAAGCACTTTTATCATATTTCAACATGCTGAATCTGCGCTTCAATTTTCTCGACGTCATACTGAATTATTTACCTTTTCAGCTTGCTTACTTGGAGCACCGAACTGATATTTTAGATTGTAAGCTGAAAAAAGAACAGGAAAAAACAAAAAGGAGAACATTTGCAAAAGAAAACGGTTAGTATTGCAACAATTCAATTCATTGAAACCATTTAGTCCTATATATCATGAAATGTCTTGGCAGAATGTGGTAATTGTGTCAAATTCGTCAGAATATACAGGGTGGACAACATATAACTGATTGATTTAAATTGCGCGCCATTATCAGTAGGTGGCGCCATGGTAGTTGCTCAAAGCACATGTGTCCAATTCATCATGGAGCGCTAAACGATCCCACAACGCGTCCGTATTGTTGAAACGTTTTACTTAAATAATGAGTCGATTGTTTCAAGGATTCGAAAGCTACGACAAGATATCGGTCGAAATAATGTGTCCAGTGTTAATACCATTCGTCAGTTGGTGCATAAATTTGAACAAACGCCAAAGTGTTCGAGCGATTACTCTGCGCCATGAGACGTCTACCAGACATCGTTCTCAAGATCTGGGTATTTGTCGCACCTAACATAGTTATACACTATTTTATGAAAAGACTTGCATTTGCGGCCATATAAAATTCAGTTAACTCAAGAGCTACAGCCTAGTGACCATGAAAGTCGCCGACAATAATCACGCAATATTACAGCTTAATACCCAAAATAACGATAATGAGCAATAAAGCCCACTTCGATATGAACGGATTTGTTAATAAATAGAATTGTCGTATCTGGGCATTAGACAGCCCTCGTGTCATCCATCAACGACCACCATATCCTCGTCGAGTCACAGTTTGGTGCGGTGTTTGGAATGAGCAGGTGTCATTGGACCTTACTTCTTTGAAGACGCTGCAGGCAACTCTTTTACTGTCGTTGGCGAGCGCTACCGTTATATGGTGCAAAACTTTCTCAACAATTTAACCTGCAAAACATGTGGTTCCAGTGGGATGGAGCAACTTGTCACACAGCTAGGGGAACAATGAATCTTCTGGGAACAATATTTCGGGGACGTTTAATTTCTCGATTTGGTGATGTCAACTGGCCACCACTTTTCTTTATGGGGATTTTTGAAAACTTGGGATTATGTCAAGAAATCAAATACTGTAGAACAGCTGAAGAACAATAATACGGAAGCGGTTGAATATATTCCTCCCGAAACCTACCAAGAAGTGATGGAGTGTAATCAAGAGGGCTCAGGTTTGCGCGGCTTCTTGAGGTGGACATTTGTCTGATATTATTTTTCATACATAATTTCTAAGTTTCAATAAAAGATTAAGATGAAAAAAATATTCAAGATACAAATCAGTTACATAAAGGCCACCCTGTATGTACAACTTTGGGCATGTAGAATGAGGCGACAAGTGCGTCTTGCCATTGCTTCAAAATTCTTCTGCTTGTACTCCTTTGTTGTTAGCAATTACTATACGAGTAAGATAATTTTTATTATTTATTTGATAAACTTATTAAAGTAAAACCATGTCTAGCAAATTTGTATCCAACAAGGTAAACTTCATCCGCGTTATCCATACTGGGATTTATTTGACGTTCGAGTAGAATTTCTCACATTTATCTCTCATTCATCACTCTATGAAATCTGCACCTAGTTAATGATCCATTCACAAGATTTTTGATTATGCATGAGCTGGCAGGGGATTTAAAAAATGAGTAGCTCAGGAGCACGACACTCTAGAGCACTGGAACGGTATTGACAGGTGATGGGTACCCCCCTGCGTAACTTAAATGAGGCACTGGTAAACGGCTCTCGAATTTCGAGGCTCTTCCACCTTATCATACGGCGTAAATGGACTATTAAACTTGCAATCGATAATTTAGGTTCTTCAGTTTCGTGTCAATGCTGCTTCGCGGACGACCTATTGCCTGAAGAAGTGTATTCGTGTACCAACGATTGTAGTTTTTGTGAGGAATGCATCAGACGGAGCTGCGAAATTAAACTTGCTGAGGGAGACATACAGTTTCCGTGTTTGGCGGACTGTGGGTCGCAATTTTCGTGGAAAACGCTGCAGGTAAACGAAATGGTGTCAAGTAATTTGTAGTAATGTTAGGCTTATTTCTTAGTCTAACACGATATGAAAATTATTGAACCAAAGCAATATTGCATGTGGGATATAGAGTCAACCTACTTGAAACAGATTTCTGGCAGAATGTACATAGGACTTATTATTTTTCTTTCTACTGAGCGTTACTTAGTGATAGGCCTCAATCTTAATGATGCAGTCAGGGCGCATTCCTATTTAAGTAGATAAGTGTCAAACTTTTATAAAAATGTTGTTTTTTTACATCTCAAAGATCCTTGAGCCAATTTTGTTGAATGTTGACAGTGTTGTTTATCGTAACAAAATGCTAAGTTAGCACTAACTAGAAGATAATTATGAGTCTCAGTGCACCACTCGATCTTCGGTTAAATCTATTCGAAAGACTGAAAAGGAGTTGAAACTTGACTAGGAATGTTCGCCTATATAAAGATTATTTCAGAATGAATTTTTGTTACCACATCCACCATATTTGTAATACCGACATTCAATTTTGTTTTATACGCAAATACCTATATGAGAAATAAAAGTGACTACTATAATCAACAGGTGCGTAATATTGCGGGATAATAATAATCTATTATTCAAATTGTACAATGGCATAATAGAAATTGTATAGTCACTACAAAATGAAATGTTCCGCCGCTATCACCGTTACAACTATATATAGTTACTGTACTAGAAATTGCTTAATGGTATTTTCAAATTTATGGAAACTGTTTTTGTTTTTGATTTGATTTGGTAGATTATTGAAAAATCGTAAACACATGTAAATAGGGCTTTTTTATGTGGAGGATAATCTATGTATTGAGCTCAAATAAATTTTTATTTTTGAAAAAACCTAAGACACTCATACACATAGATGACATACATAGTCATGATTTTTTCAGTTTTAAACACTCGCCTACTAGTTTCATTGAAATTTAGTTCTGCTATTTTTTTTTAATAAACCTATTGCGCATAGTACAACATATTTTCATACTCTAATTACTTAGATATCTTGATGTTACCCAAAACCATAGCAAATGGAATCAAGCCTCTTCAGTTCGAATACATAAAAATCAAAAGGTGGAATACAAAACTACAGATTTTTTTATTCTCTGACTATTTTCCCTCTATTACTCGTATTCAGCTCCTGTTTCTGATTTCTTGTCTAGGCGGCGCTTCCACCTACACTATTTTCGAAACTATCACAGAATTACACGGAATCTGAGATACGGGCGGCAGGACTTACAGTTGACAGTTGTCCATTATGTAATTTCCCCAACACCATCGATGAGCGATGTACGTCGTTTCAGTGTTTTAACCCAGAATGTATGAAGGTAAGCACCAGATACTGATACTGCCTTTTTAACGAGCATCCATTACGGTAGCATCTGTTTATCTAGTAATATTAAAAAATTCCCCACATTGATAAGTGACACTCAATTGCGACGCATCCGTTAACGCCAGGTAGACAGGGCCGTATTTTGTTGTTTCTTGTACGATATTTAGAAAAGTCGCTTGGCATACAAAAATCACTTCTAGCAAAATTGCTGCTAATGATTATGACTAAATTTCAAGTCAGGTAGGAATAAAATAATATAAACGCTTTTTGACTTTGTTAATCATATCTACTTGAAGCATATAGTATGCATTTAAATGAGACTGAAACAGCAATACAAATAATTCAAAATTTATGATCGAATTAATAGACCTTCGATTCGCTGAAATAGGTCTAAAAATTACTGAAATAATAAGCTAGAAATTAGAAAAGTGATATATATCTTAGATGTAGTATAATAATTTTCATACATTTTATTGTCAACATTTCCAGTCCTACAAAACATAACTTTTGACGGTAACGATATATTTAAACGAAATTTTGACATTGTAGAAAGCAGTTGGGCCGTTGGGACCACATATGGTGACATCAAAGTAAAATAACCAAATCGTTTATAACGATTATCTCTAAAGTACAGCTCTATTCATGATCATAAGAAAAAGTAAAGTTGTGACTGGATAACAAGAGACAAAACGTCATATTGAAATTCTAATTGTGCTAACTTGTAGAGGAGAAAAAATGGCGGTGTTAATGTGGAACTTATTTTAAAATCCCGCTACAAGTAAAGCCAGGTAAAAATTAAAACGATTTTGAGAAAATTTGATTATTTACATCTCTCTCTCCGGAAGTACTTTGAATTGCGAAACTTTATAAGCGGGATTTTGTTAATTACCTAAATACGGAACTTTGCCCCTATTTGAGCGACTTTGGTAATTTTAACACATGGGTAAGCTTGATCCAATTGAACCTTTTCTGAGGAAAATATCGCGCAACGGTTTTTGCTGCAATCTGTACGTAAAGCATACGAAGTTGATTAATGGTGATCTGCTTTTGTATTATAAATAATCCGTGCCAATTATCGTTAATTTTTTCTACAGTGTGTCACCGCAAATTTTACACATCGCACGTATCACAGGAAACGTATATGGCGACGCTGGCTAATAGTCCCCCACCCCACACGGACATTGAGCTGGTTATTGTTAGTGGTAACTAACTGTATTTTACATTTCACAGGAGACATGCAGGTTATGCAAAGAGCTCAACCACCTTCCGTTGCGATGCGATGAGGTTGAGAAGGACGAAGATGTCCAGGCACGCGTCTACGTTGAAAATAAGATGACCGAAGCAATATTGAGGTATGAAATTACTAAATAATAATAATAATAATAATATTTATTCACTCAATGTACAAAGATAACAAACAATATGAGTAAATAAATATAAAATCAAAACAGGCCCAATAGAAGGCATCGCCTGTACATGGATCAATAAATTTAAGTTGAAACTGTGGAATGCAAATGACAAAAAAGGACAAAAATTAGCTACGGTAGATTATGTATTTAGTTGATGTTCGTATTTATAAGTTTATGAATTTCAGTCCTAGATATAGAATGTAGCCACTTTTTTAAATTTCTTTTGAAACAATTTCCGAAACGTAAATCTTTTAAGTCTTTAGGTATAATTTCATAAAATTTAGGCGCTAAATAGAGATATGATCGCTGCATTATAGATTTATGCGGTTGAGGAACTACTGTGCCACGAATTTTGTACCTGGTATAATGATTATGTTTAATTTTTTGGTCGCTGTTTACAAATTTATGGTAGTGAGTGATACTGTGTAAGAAATAAAGCTGTCTTATATCATACATTCGAACATCTGCGTATAATTTTTCAGTGGGATAAAGTTTCGGTTTTATAAATATCATTTTTAGAATACTTTTTTGAAAAACATCTAAATTATAGATATGTGAGGAACATGCAGCTCCCCATGCTAATATACGTATACCATATGTGAGATGAGGCTCAATCAGTGCATGGTATAATGTTTGAAGATATTTTTCTGTCAATATATTCCCAAGGTATTTAATTTTGTAGGATACAAATCTAACTTTCTTTAAAATATAATTGACATGGATGTCCCATCGTAAGTGAGGATCCAAGACCACTCCAAGGTATTTTATGTTGGGCACTCTATTAATTTGCATTTTTTGATCATTAATATTGAAGGAGAAATTTGTGTAATTTGGCAGATGTCTAGCATAAGATCCAAATGGTAAAAAATGTGTTTTAGAGTAGTTAATGCTTAATTTTCTACTGTTAAACCACCGAATAATTTTGATAAAATCATTTTCAATTACATTTTTCAGATCAGACCAGTCAGTGCCTTCATATAATATTGCAGTATCATCTGCAAAACTAGTTATTTTTGCCAACACAATTAATTTGGAAAATATTTAAATATATATTGAATAACAGCGGACCTAAGACAGTTCCTTGTGGGACACCACACTTAATATACATTTCTTTACTAAATGATCCTGATATCTGCACAGATTGTGGGCGATTTGACAAATAACTTTCGATCAGTGAGTACGCGTTTCCTCTGAAACCAATTCTCTCCAATGCTTCTAATAATAATTTGTGATTAACTGTGTCGAAAGCTTTCTTTAAATCAACAAAAATCAAAAATGCAGATTGAAGGGATTCTGTTATCAATATTTTGATGTATTTGATTTACAATTTTAGTTATTGCGTCCGATGTAGCCTTCCCTTCTGTAAATCCATATTGATTTTCACTTAAAATTTTGAATTTTGTGAGGTATCGAATCATTCTGGTAGATAAAACTTTTTCAAAAACCTTTGCTACATTGGATATTATTGATATTGGTCTATAGTTGTTAACATCTGTTTTTGTTCCTGATTTATGTATCGGTATTATATTACCTTTTTTTAAAATTGAGGGATATATGCCAGATTCAAAGCATTTGTTGATTAGGTAAGTGAGTGGTTCTGTTATGTCCTCAGCTATAATTTTCAAATGCTCGCTTTTAATACCTTTAATACCATCGAACCCAGGACTTTTCCGATTTTTTAAGGACATAACAGTGGTGTATACTTCACATTGCTCGACTTTATCCAAAATAAATGAGTTCAAAGTTCTTTTTGGAGGCTGAGTATTTTGTACATTTGCTTGTATATTACTTGCTATACGTAAATTTTCGCCTATGTCAGTAAAGAATTGTACAAATTCATCGCATATCTGTTGAGTATTTTTTAATACTGTTCCCGATGTTGTATTTAACTCAGTGACACACTCTTTAACTTTTGTTTTCCCAGTAATCTCATCAATAGTTGTCCAAAGCCGCTTAGGATCACTTAAGTTATTATTCAATTTATTTAGGTAATGTTTTCGTTTGGTTTGCCTTACAAGCTCTATAAATTTATTTTTATATTGGTTGTAGCAGTCGGTATTCTCAGTAGTTGGCGTTAGTTTCATTACATTATATAGTCTTTCTTTTTCTATTGCCGATGTTATTAATCCTTTGGTAATCCAGGCATTTCTGCTTTTCTCTTTGTGACTATTGGTACTAATATCTATTAGTTTTTTTATTTTCTCTATGAACAGTCCCGTTGCTTTGTCTATATTATTTATAGAGTATAATTGTTCCCAGGATTCTTGTTTGACATTTGATATTAGTTTTGAATTGTCGACAAAAAATTTGTAATTTTCCTGGTTGTTACTAACGGTAGAGGTGTTAGAATGTTTTTCATTTGAAGATATCAGTAAAATAGTGGAGAAGTGGTCAGTAATATCGCTTTCTAGGATTATTGGTATACAAGTAATTTTGTTGGATAGGTCTTTCACAAAGCAGTGATCTATACATGTGCCACTGATGGACCTTGTAGGTAGGTTTATATAGGACAGAAATCCGTTACTTGATAGGATATTCAAGTATTCATTTGTGATGGGATCATTGTCCAAAATATTTATATTGACATCTCCCAAGAAAATATGTTGCTTTAAATGAACTTTATTTTGATTTTGGTACATTAAGACAATATTACACAACCTGCGCCATACAACATAAACGCTACAAATTGTACAATGATTGAAAAAAAAGTCGTTCTTCATCTGTAATTATTTCGTAACACAACTTCCCTTTTGGTAACCTGTGCGGCACCAGTAATTACGGAAGAGATTTTTATATGTTGTGTTAATGAATTGAGAACGACGTAATGAACCCTATTTAAAATCTCATTCTGCTAGTTTCATTATTCAATATTTAAAAACAACTGAGAAATATTTAATATCAAGTGTAGTTTGTCATGAGTATTTCAGTAATCGGGAAATTATGGGAACAGGGCTTTTATCTCTACCAGAATAAAAACAACACCAATAGGCATACGTCTCAGACAAATCTAAGTACTTTATATTGCATTCATTAGAGTTGCTAGTTGTTTCAAAGTATTTATAAAATTAGTATGAAACGTTATAACCGTTGATTTACGTACAGGTTAAAGTAAACGACACTAAATGCTTGGTGCGCGATAACAGGGCCACCTAGCCGATGTGCCTAATACGAGCAATATAAAAATAAACGATAATTATTGAAAATGACGGACATTTAGTCGATTTGTCCGGAAAAATTTTAATTTGTCAGTCCTCAATTTACCTACCACAGAGGCTACGCGTATCTTCCACCATCAGGCCGATGATGTTCCTCGTTTTGTCCACCGTGTGCGCGGCGATCAATTCAGTTATTCGGAAACAGAACAGAAATATATAAATTTTATAAAACTGAACGTTTTGATATACAGAGTGACCCATTTTATTCTCTACACTTGAATATTTCGAAAACGAGGCACTCTGAAGAAACAGGTTTGTGGTTTGTGAGGATCACCCCAAGGTGACCTCAATCATGACCATGACTTTAACCTTCAAGATCGAGTCAAAATTTTCGAAGCAAACCGCTCATTTTTATTCCAAGATTGAAAAAGGGTCATGTCAATCTTCAATATTATTCGTAAACCAACCCGTTGATTTTTTTGTCAAAATTGCATTGAGCGAAAAAATGCCGGTGTAAAAAGGAGAAGTTAGGGACCTTGGTTGGCCGCGTGGGTCAGAGTGTCGTGCAACTGACCTTGAAATGACCTTGAAGTCGTGGTGAAGGTCATTGTGAGCGTTACTATCATTTTTCTTCTTGAAAGCTGAGTTAGTACAAAAAAACTCTTATGCGTGCCTCATATAAAAAGGTTATTCAATTGATCTTGCAAATTATATATAACAGCGATATGCACCTCATGATTTATTCGTAAAAAATTTCGCTTAATTCCCAATCTAGGTATGTAATGTACGACGTATTCTGGATATTCTTGGCCGTATCAGCTAGCAGTTGTGATACCTATTCTTCTATGCCTTACAGATCATGCTACAAATGTAAGAGAAAGTTTGTCAAGGAGGATAACTGCTGCAACAAGATCACGTGCATATGCGGTGCGGTGTCATGTTATGTCTGCAATAAGCCAGTGATAGGGTATGATCACTTTATTGGACTTGGAGACAGTCGGTCTGAGAAGTAAGTAATTAAGAAGGCTTATCCCTATTTTCTGCCCCTAACACCATTGCAATAAAGTAACATTCGAATTTCACTTTTTACATATACGTAATCCCCATTCGTAGTTCATTTACGCCCAGACAAAACACAACATGCCGAAAAGCGAGATTGTACAGGTCCGTATTTTTCTCAATGTTCTTGGACAAAATAAATGATTATTTTTATAGAAACAAGTGCACATACTTTTTACAATTATATATTCGCTGGAAGTACTTGAATCGTCGGCCGAACGGTTAATATTAATTATTACAGGTTCAGTTTGAATATCGATCATATTATTGTCCAGATTCCACATCCTTGTTTCGATTGCCTCTTGAACGTGACGGATGGAATCTCCAATGGTTTGCCGTCACTCTCATGACAGCTTCATAAAACGAATTTTTCACGTCAGAAAATTTGAATGTTCTATTGTTCGAATCCACGTAGTTTTTTATATTTGCTCAAATCATTTCAATGGGATTTAATTTGCAGTGATAAGGGGGCAGCCTTAAAACGGTCTTATTTTGTTTTTTGGCCATTTCGTCAATAACCTTTATATAGGTTATATTTGTGCTGTCTGACTAGATGATAAGTTCTGCTTTGACCATATTATTATTGAAACTAATGTCTTTTGATAGGAGTCATTGTTGAATTTCTGCCTTTCTTGTGGACATTGTGAGAATTTTTTCTAGTTTTCTAGTGTGGTATGCAGCATTATCAAGTACAATGACAGCATTGTCGTCAAGCTTTGGGAGCGTTTCTTCAAACCATCGTTCAAATGAACTGCCGTCCATTACTTCATGGTAGTCGGTAGTTTTCTTTGACTCAAATGCCCCATAGGGCAGTGGGCACAATAAAGAGCTTTTTATTTTTTATCTCGCAAACGAAGCGAGATATGGAGGAAACTCAAGAGACAAAAAAGTTGTATTTTCAGCTTCTAATTTTGAAAAAAAAATAGAAACATTTAAAAAGTCAGTGGCGCACACAGTTGACATGGTTTGTCGTGTGATGTACAGTCATCTTATTTTTGAAATTTCTCTTGCTTACTGTACGGATACTTCCACGCCCGTAGGCGTGGGATGTAAAACACATAAAGAAAAACAGTTTGACTTGTACTTAACATTTTGTAATCGGAACCTAATAAGATCACTTGTTTTAGTGTTGATAACGATTATCAAATGAAAATTTGCAAGGAGGTCAGGGGCGGATCATGGGGATCACCATTAGTACTCTTATTCTTTCGGTTTCTCAAATATAGGTGCCCGCTGTATGTCGACATGTTAGCATTGCATCAACGTGAACTTACTGCGGCAGCTGATGAAGCGAAGAAGGAAGTTGATCGCAACAGGTTGACATCTGATCCGTCAAGTGATCTTGACAAATACTTTAAATATAAACGAGAGACTACCCCGCAACCAAGATGGATGCAGGTAATAGTTCATTGCACAAATTTCAATTTTAGTATATCAAGTATCGAATAATCGTATCATAATATAAACTGGTAGACAGTAATTCATTGCTTTGCAACATGGAAAATGTTACCCAAATTCAAATTGTGATATTTTCGGCAGGTTCTTGACCAACTCTTTGAGAACATATACGAGGTTCGACCGATATATTTCTTTTATTTATCCACCTATACAGGGTGAGCAAAGAAATTCAGGTTTTTTAACAAAGTTTGGAGCTATGTTAGGTTCTCATTTTTTGCTCTAGGAAATTGTTAAATGCATTTTTGACTATTTTGAAAAAGTGATCAAATTTTTCGAATGTTGGCTATAATTCAAATTATCGCATTTTGAAAAACTGTTACATGTACCCCTAAAAAAGGGAGCACGGGAAATAATGTCTTAGATGTTTCCGTTTTCAAAGGTTTTGATATCGTATCGAAAGCAGTGCTCATCAGCTCGGTGACATCGACAAGGTATTAGAATGGTGTGTTATAAACAATCTCCCAATCAACATCACTAAATGTAGTGTTATGTTATACATATACAAGAAGAACGGTTTCCATTCAATTCAATTATCAAGTCGATAACTTTTAATCCTTCGCAGAGAGTACATAAGCATAAGGGCAATTCTCTAAGGTGTAATCCTAATATAGAGCAAATTCTTCTAGCTGTAAATGTAGTTCTTAAAGTTTTTGTCTTTCTAAAACCGATGACACATATCCGCCTATTCGAACCCCTCAGGCCAAGTTATTGCAAAAACATGTTTTTGTTGTTTAGATAATTCTCTTGTGTTTCTGTACAAGACAGTCCATTGTATTTACGATTGCCCATCTTTCACATCAGTGTCAAGGTTCAATATCCCGATTTTTTTTACTCGAAATAAGCATACCTTTTACCTTCCTACCTCACGAACTAACTTACTATTGCGCTTACATGTACACTCTGTGTGTATAAGTAAATAGATGAATAGATATTATAAATCCGAACATAGATTGAAATTTATTTTTTATTTATATACAGTTTGGGTTGTTAACAGATAAACCCAACACACACCCTCAGTGAACTAAAACTAAACTTACATAAAATATCGTATACATATTACATATATTACATTATTGAATACCTTAACATAAATTGAGTGAGTAGTTCTAATTGTAAGCAATAAACTATTCATTTAACCTTTTTAATAAAAGGAGTATACATAATTTAACATTTACTTACGTTTAATTAAAACAGAAATCAAAATTAAATTGAAATTATACCAGAAATGACATTGGAGGTGATAACTTGAGTTATGTAAACAAAATAAAACATTTCTATTTTAGTCTGCCATAGAACTGTAATACTCATACTTTAATGCCTTTTTCAGGAAGGTCAAGCTAATGTTAAGTAAATCTATATTACAGAAATTATTATGATTTTTTGAGCACTGACCAAAGGGGAATTAAGCCCAAGATTAGTCTACGGAACGGTATTCTAAACAGATCATAGGTTCTAAACGTTCTATCAGTTCAGGTTTGCCAAAAGATCCGGACAGTCAGTGAGGCCATTCAACAATTAATGAACACAACAAATGTCAGAAATCGTTCTTCTATCTTTTAAGGAAATCATATTGAACTGTTTCATAATTTGCGTATAATGATGATCTGTAACAGGTTGGTGAGTTTTATGTGCGAACATCTTCAACAATTTGTGTTGAATTCTTTCTATCCTGGCTATATGTACATATACTAAGTGACATATAAATCCGAACACCCAGTTTAAATGGTTTTATTTTAATAAAAGTTGGTGAATGTATTTATCTTTCTGTAAATAACAAGTGAAAAAATTTTCAGCCTTATCAGTTGGACATTCTGGTTTTTATACTGCTTTTTTTTAATTCGCTAACGCTCTAAAAATGAATATTTCAGCCGCAGTAAAGAATCAACGTTGGCGGATTTTGGTTCTTGACATCCTTTACGATCGGTTGCGATGCCTAGAGTACGGAGACCTGTACGATTTCGTCAACTTAGTGAGTTTGATAGGGGCCGTATAGTGGGACTTCGGGAAGCTGGACTTTCTTTTCGGGCAATTGCAGTTAGATTGCAAAGAAGTGTAGACACTGTGGTTAGGTGTTGTCAGGCATGGCTTCGAGAAGGCCGTACGCAAAGAGCAAGGGGCACTTGACGCCGCCGTAGAACAACAGACCGTGAAGATCGCCGCCTAAGATTATTGGCCTTAAGGGACCGTTTCTCCACTACCAGGTCCATTGCAAATGAATGGTTTGCAGAACACGGAAGACCTATTGGCATGCGAAGTGTTTACCGACGAATGAGAAGTTTTGGCTTGTTTTCATACCGGTCACACTGGGTCCTCCCTTTAACTCGAGAACACCGACGTAATCGCCTTGAGTGGTGCAGTCAACGGTCACTTTGGGATCAGGAATGGAACAGTATTGTCTTTAGTGACGGGTCTAGATTTTGTTTAGGCATGCACGATGGTCGTGCCAGGGTTAGAATCCACAGTTTTTTGTTGAAAGACATGTTCATCACACTGTTGGAGTTATGGTTTGGGGTGCTATAGCTTATGGTTCCAGGTCACCTTTAATCTTCATCAGAGGTAACATGAACGCGCAGCGTTATATCCACGAGGTTCTAGAACCCCATCTTTTACCCTATCTTGACACCCTGGCAGATCCAACTTTCCAACAATATAATGCCCGACCACATGTTGCAAGAGTCACAATAGACTTCTTTCAACATAATGATGTCACATTGTTACCATGGCCACCAATATCTCCCGACTTATGCCCAATTGAGCACGTGTGGGATATGATGGGTAGGAGATTGCTCAATTTGCAACGTCCTCCTCAGACTCTAGAAGCACTTCGAGAGGAGTTGGTGGTTGCCTGGAATGAGATACCACAGGAGGACATTGACCACCTGATCAGAAGCATGCCTAGTCGCGTTGGAGAATGCGTAGCACATCAGGGTGCATCCACACATTATTAAAGGTCAACGGGCTTTAAAGCAGTGCAATCATTTTGAAATTTTTATCATTTACTTATTATGCTTCATTAAGTACTTATACAAAATTTTATTAAAATAAAACCATTTAAACTGGGTGTTCGGATTTATATGTCACTTAGTATACATTGTAAGACGGATTCCATATTACTGATGCAAACATCAATTTGTTGTGTATATAAGCGTAGTACAGTTTTGGGTTCGTAAATTCTTTGCATGTCCTGTTTATGAAGCCTAATGTTCTATTTGCATCATTTACGATGTACTCTACGCGAGTGATGAATGAGAGTTTCTCATCAATGTATACCCGTAGGTCTTTTACTACATGAAACTTTTCCAGTTCTGCCCTCCCTATCTTATATCTGAAATCTATAGTGTCCGCTATGTTTCTAGTAAGCCTCATGTAATAACAATTTGTTAAATTCAGGAAGATACTGTTTTCAGTGCAATACTTTTGCAGATATTCCAAATTGCCTTCAAGTTTTACACCGTCATTTACATTTCTAACAATAGTAAATATCTTTAGATCATCAGCATATAACAAATTGTATTTACTGAAATGAAAAACAGAAGTAAGGTTGTTCATGTATATGTTAAATAACAATGGTCCTAAGTGACTACCTTGTGGTACATCTGAAGTTACTAAGAATGTACACCTATAATACGCCATACATTGGCTTTGCCAAACCTTAGTTATTTAAAATAGGAGAATTTTCTAGGAAATTGTTAGATAGTCATTCGTTTCGCCTGCCAAGTTTATTCCAAAATCACCTTTTTTCCTGACTTTATTTAAGATTTGATTTCAAAATAAATTGTATGTTGTCGTTGTTACTTATTCTCGTCTACAAGATGGCGTAGTCAAATTTTCAATTACACATTTCCTCTTTCGACTTCCACCACCAACCTTGTTGTTGTTTTATACGGATGCTATATTGGAATTTTGTAACATTATATTGACTCTTCAGTCCTAAGTTCAGCGATGTATTTCCTTACTTGGCCATGAATTTGTTGCTGGATGAACATTATAAGGTATGCTGCAGCCTGAACACAACACGAAAACTTTCTTGATTAAAGTTGACGCTGGAGGACAAGGGTAAAACGTCTTATTGAATTTCTAATTATACCATCTTGTAGAGGAAAAAAAGTAGTAATGTTAACGTGCAATTTATTTTGGAATCTCATCAGTAAATGGATTCAGGGAAGAACAAAAGTGATTTTTAGGCAGAACATATAATTTCCTATCTCCTACCTAGGTAAACCTGCTTTTTTGAAATAACTAATGTGTGGCGACGTCAATATATGACGTATTAAACATTTGTCGAATCAGAATTAAACACTTTATTCACAAGTGTAAAAAGCCAATATGGCGTCGTTAAGAAAAAATACAATTGATGCTGGAGGACAAGAGATGCAACAACATTTTAAAATTCTGATTATGCCATCTTGTAGAGAAGAAAAAGTGGCAATTTAATTGTGCAATTAATTTTGAAAGCCCACTATAAATAAAGTCAGGTAAAAATTAAAATGATTTTGAGAAAATACAGTTTTTACCGTCTCTCTCCGGAAGTACATTGACTTTAGAAAATTTCTAAGTGGCATTTCGTTGAATATTAAAATACGCAACTTTGTGTCCATTTAAGTAACTTTGTATATCAATTTTCCGAGATCCCAATGGTAAGGGTCGAATTTGGAGCGCTCTGTATAAGAATTATAACTCAAATCCTAGGTATTAAATTTTCAATACATTTTCGTATGGAGGTATTTATTGAATTATCATTATAATCGGTAACAGTTTGTTTTTTTAAATTTAACTACTTTAGCCATTGTATATTTTCCACAGGGACTGCCAGAAAGACATCATCCCATAGAGCCCCAAAGAGAACTAAATGAGATTCTCAATGTACAGGTACAGTTTCACAGTCAACTACATCAAAACTAATGACGTGGAGTAGGTCAACTCGGTATTATCAGTATATTAATAGGAAACACTTGGTGGTGCATAAGAAGTAATTATTTTATTAATAATGATGCTACTATACGGTGCTCCGAAACTATATTAGGCAAATTGCGACAACGGTGTTTCAAAGTTGATGTGTTCCACGTGCTTTGTTTTGTTCAAATAGCAGACCTTGGTCAATTAATTCCTTCATTCTTCGGTCCGATCAAAAGAGCTTCCTTATCAACACACATTTCAGCAACTGTAGAACCGATTTTGATGAACATTGTAAATCGGAGAACCTGACTCATGTTTTTCTTCCCACGCCACTGGTGCGGAAGTGTTGTTATCGCGAATAATTTCAAGAAGAATATATTGTATCACATGTACAAGGGGGTACCAAAAAAAACGGAATTATTTTTTAAAAGCTATTTAATTTCAACTTTTTTACAAAGTAACCTTATCTTCTTCAAAATACTGTCCACTACAACTAATACACTTGTCCCATCGGTCCTTGCACTTCTCGAAACATTTTATGAAGCCTTCCTTAGAAATGACTGACAGCTCCTCCCTCGTTTTTTTCTTGACCTCTTAATGCGTCCTTGTATGCCTCTTGTCCTCCGTGAAAATAAGAAAAAGTCACAAGGTCTCGGATTTTTTCAACATTTTCGTCGATTCGGGCAGTTGATCGACGTCCAGAGTGAGGTTTGTCATCAATCGACATGTCGCCATTTTTAAATCGAGCAAACCACTCGTACACCTGAGTTTTTCTCACAGCATCATCTTTGTAAGCTATTTTCAACATTAGAACAGTTTCAGCAGCATTTTTATCAATTATTAGAAAGCAAATTTTCACAGCTGCACGTTGCTGGAGCTTGCCATCATAAAAAACGAAACAGCAAGTAACATATCTAGCAAAAATAATGACTACAGAGGAAGAAAACAAGCCAGATCGACAACTCAGGTGGCACTGAACTGGTAATAAGTGGCACTATACGCCTCTAGGGGCAAATGTGTGTACTAATGCTATTCCGGTTATTTATGGTACCTGCTCGTACATCACGAATAGCCATACCATTTCTGTCGATCTTTCCGCCTATCTGTCGCTCTTTCCGATAATCCTTGGCTCGTTTATAAATCGAAAAGCACTCCTCGGATGTTGATGGATTTTTCAAACATTGTAGGTCAAAAATTGGGAGTTGGCGTTTATATGGGAGTGGGAGAGAGCATTTCCTTTTCTTTTGGGTGCGGACTATGGATTAATTGTATGGGCCTGTCTCAATGACTTGATTCAGTTAAGTTTTTTTTTTATATATGTTCATAAGAAACTGTTTCTCTGACTTGAGCCGAACATAATGCTTTATGACCTAATGATAACGTTAAGTGGATAGTTCAGAGTTAACCTACTTGACGCCATTCTTTGAGGAACGTTGTACTAATTTTTACTGACTTTTATCCACTAATTATTGCAGGAAGAAGACACAGAAGACGACGACGAATGATGTTACCTGCTCAACAACAGCGGGACGAGCCTAGGGTTGCTCGAGAAGACTTGGAGGTACCAGCAGTACAAAACGTAAGAATACCTCGCCGGGCAACGCCACATACAAATCAAGATCAACCACAAGCGCCACGACGTGTTCGTCAATACCAGGGGGCACAGATACCTGTTCGAAGAAGGGGATCAACTGCTGAGGTATGGGTAATGACATAAATCTACGATTTCCAATGATTGAACCATTCATGACTTCCTAAAAGCTAACTACGAGCCCCTTCCCACTTCAGTTAGCCCAACTATTGAAATCTTAATTTTTTTCTTATCAAACACAAATAATAAAAATGTACCAGGGAGTTATAGGTTTAAAATATTAGCAATGAACATTTTGATAATGTATAGTAGAAAACACCCACTTTATCACTCCCTAGTCAAATTTGCAGCATAAAAATAACACATGTTGCAATTACAGCATATCAACCTATTTTCATTTCAATGCAAAATAAGTCTATAACGCATAGGTGGCTGTGAAAAATAAAAGCCATGACAATTGTTTTTATTAATCACAGCTGTCAGAATACGTTTAAAATAGTTTTGGGTAGTTACGGTTTTCAAAATGGGTAGAGGAAAGGTTATTAGTGAGAAAATTCGGTTACTGATAATTAATTTTTTTAATTCTGGGAAATCAAACTCAGAAATTGCAACTTTATTAGACTTAACGCGGTACAGTGTGAGAAATATTGTTAGAAGATATAACGTAACTGGTTCAGTTAATATTAAGCCACGATACGTGAAAAAAAAGTAATATCACAAATACCGACCGAAGAGCATTAAGAAGAATAATCGTGAAAAACAGGCGTGCCAATTATTTACAATTAAGTGCTCTGTGGAGTGGCGCTGTTGGAAGGAGAATTTCGAGGTCCACAACTCATAGAGAGGCCCACAAACTGGGATTTAGCACTTGCAAGGTAAATAAAAAAAAATGAAGTAAAAACACTAACGTTGCACAACAATGTTTATAGGCCAAAGAAAAGCCACTATTAACTCCACTGCAAAAGAAAAATCGGCTTAGATGGGTTAAAGAACATAGACAATGGACACCTCAACAATGGTGTGCAATACAGTGGAGTGAAGAGGCCCGATTCGAAGTTTGTGTTGGTGACAGTCGCAGTAGAGTCATTCGCAAAAAAAAATTAAGCATTCCATGTTGACTGTCTGAAGAGAAAAGTAAAATTTCCAGCATCCATTATGGTCTGGGGCAGTATGTCATCAAAAGGAGTAGGAAAACTTCATTTTATTGATGGAAATGTGGATACAAACAAATATTTGGCAATTTTAGAAGAATCGCTTTTACCAGTGACGGAAGAATGTTTGACATCCGACCAAGATTTTGTGTTTCAGCAAGATGGTGCAGCGTGCCATACCTCAAAAAAAGGCTATAAAATGGATGGAAGAAAATAATGTATCACTTTTGAAATGGGTTTCTAGCAGTCCAGATCTGTCACCTATTGAAACTTTGTGGCACGAGATGAAAAAGGTTCTACGACAACATCCTGCTCGTTCAATCACCGAACTGAGACTAAAGCTTCAAGAAATATGGGATTGTTTTACACCAAATTTTTGCCAAAACTTGGTTAACACTATGCCCCAAAGAAATTCAGCCGTAATAAAAAATAAAGGTGATGTTACCCAGTGGTAATGTTTCAATTGTTGCTTTGTTAACTTCGCGCATTTATTCGCACATTGTTTATTTGTTCAGATGTTCTATTAGTTATAGGTCTAAGTGATTTCAGATATGTATTTTTTACGACTAGAGTGTATCTAGAATGTTTTTGAGAAAATAAATTGTTTTAGAAGTAAATAGTTTCGTCCTGTGTAGTTTATAAAGACATTTTTTGGTACAAATCTTGAAATGGGCCAACTGAAGTGGGAAGGGGCTGGTAGATGGACATTTGATATGCTGTCGCATATCAGTTGGGTTGAAATGATTCTGCATTGTTCAGATGTCAGTGAACTGGTTGAAATTTTTACGGTTAAGCTCGAAGATGTAGTTGAAACAAGTGTAGCTAAATTCAAAATCAAGCGTAACTATCCCAATTCGAATTGTATAATAACTAGTATAATAAATAGGAGCTTACGCTGAATTGAGGAGAAAATCAGTTGATATCCAAAGACTTTCAAAGTTACGTAACAAATGTAGAAAGGGAAACTCAAGTTGATTTAAAGAAATTTTGGAAGTTTCTGGCAAACACTAAAAATTCAGATACAATCATCCTGCGGGAAATAACATACAATCACAAAATTGCTACAAATAGTGTTTCCGTCAGCCCTATGGACGAAGGCATACCCAAAGGTTTTAAAACAATCCGTGAAAAGCAAAAACAAATATCTCGAAAACTTTGGACACTTCTAACAAGTAACCCTTTTTTGTTATGGAAAAACGAGAAAATCATTTTTTTTTTCAGTCAGTTGTTGTATATAGGGCAGCACAAAAAAGTTATAAGTTATTTACCAAAATAGTGCTGTAACTTTCACCCTCTAGAAGTTTTGCCATAAAAATAACGGATTCTTGTTTCTCATACTAGAAATCCCCTATATTTTTATGCGAAAATCTGAAATACTTCTCAAGCAATAAGAAAAAATAGAAAATAAAATTGTAACTTTGACGCCCTGTATCTCGCAAACTATCAACTTTTGGACTACGGTATATTTAGGTCAATTCACATATTTTGATCTGTAGTATCTTCAGTTTCAAGATTTCCCAACCTTTCGCAGACATCTTCGACTCGCAGCACTGCGAGTTCTGCGACTTAGGTTGGTACGTTTAATTGTGGCATTTTGAAGAATCACAATTTTAATACGAGTATAAGGCGTGATTTGGATGAACTACTTCCACAGTCGTTAATCATTTTTGAACAATGCTTGTCAAAACTCACCGAACAAACTGAAACCTGGATAAAAGCTCTAATCGAATGGACTGTGCACGACTAGTTAAATAAAAAAATAATTTAATCATCGATAAAGGCTGTTAAACAATAATATAAATTTGCGGCGTCCGAGATATCAACTTCAAAATGATAAAGTGTAAATTAAGCAAAAGAAACGTATTTTCATCCGCCATCTTTATTCAAGATAACAATTAGAAATCACGCAGTTTCTTTTGAAGAGGCCATCACAAACTACGGATGGTAAAAAAATGAAAGTCCAAAAACGAAAGCACCGTGTTTTCGTAAGCAATTTTCTCTCACATAGCTGTCTGTAGCTGTTGGAATATAGATGGCGGACAGGAGAGCCTGTCTCTTTTATTACTTGAGATATTTCTTCTGCTGTGCGTGCTCCATGCTCAAGCTAAAGGTCAAGCGCGCGTAACTCAAATAATCATCAGGTTTTCAGTGATTTCCCAATTTTTTGCGCTATTTTCTTGATTTTTCTTTTCGTAAGAACTTTCTATGCAGTATAAGGTAACTTAAAAAAAATGAATGGAATCGGTAAGGTCCTTCTCAAGTTATGGCGTGACCATGGGAAATAAGGTATCAATTATATATATATATATATATATATATATATATGTATATATATATATATGTATATATACAGGGTGGCCCATCCAGAAGTGAAAGGAATATTACTCATGAACAAATACATTTTGAGAAAATCTATTAATGTCATGTTATACATGACATTTGAGGGTACATTGCTAAAATATTGGCAGGGTATTCTAATTTTGACCTACATATCAAAGTTGTGATTTCTTGAATGGAATGCCTCAAATTCTATTGCTTATTTGGATAAACCAATTCAAGAGAAGAAGATTGACATAACATACTATGGGGTTTTGGTAATTAGCTACTGAGATGTAAGGTGTTTTGTCCAGAAAAACCGGCAACCTCTCAATCCGCCATTTTGTATCAAAAAAAAACTTACACACCTCAGCTTTTATCCTAGTTGGGGGGTATTTCTAGACAAAGCACCTTATAGCACAGTAGCTAATTACCAAAACCCCATAGTATGTTATGTCAATTTTCTTCTTTTGAATTGGTTTATCCAAATGTGCAATAAAATTTGAGGCATTCCATTTGAAAAATCACAACTTTGATATGTAGGTCGAAATTGGGACACCCTGTATAATGGACAATATTTTGAAATGTGCTCTCAAATGTCATGTATAACATCCCATAAATATATTTTCCCAAAATGTATTTGTTTATGAGTAATATTCCGTCCACACATGGATGAGCCACCCTGTAAAATAGATAGACCTGTTAAGTCCATGACAAAAAAAAGGAAAATCATAACGAATTTTAATGTTCCTAAACATGAGTGCTCATTAATGAGGGCATATGCCCCCTTGGCAGTTTGAGAAGTGAACATTCTTCATAGCGCACCCGTTTTGTTGGTAATGAGTGGCGAGAGTTCTTTTATTCCACAAAACAGCCCTTCACAGATATCATTTGTTCTCCCACCATTTTAGTTACTTAGAGCAATTATAAAATTTATTACGGGTAATGAAAATTTTTCAGAACAACTGTTTAATTGTTATTTGACCAGTTTTTCTCAGAGAGCCAGTACAATAGGTAGTATACCTCTTCAAAGCCTGCTTGATGTAGGATAATCATAGCAATGCAAGAGTTCCTGGGAGCATATAGCTTCAAAATAATTTGGCACATAAGCATTATATTCTATTGAGTGATTCATTCCGATGATGTAAGATCTTCTTTTTTTTCACAGAAGTCGACTAAGACTAAGAACGTCTAAAAGGATACTGACTGGAGTTTGCCTGCTTTCCAGTTTCCTGTTTTATCTACGTGTCAGTGATTTTAATTCTTAACAAAGCCTTATATTATTTCTAATTAAATAATGATGTAAAAAAAATTATTATAATATTTAATAAGCAATATTTTAGCTTATTTCCTTAGGTTAGCACTACTTTTATATGCTGTATTTTATTGTCTTACTTTGTATTAACGTTAGTTTTTAAAGTCTATGTTTGATTTTTTATACTATTTGATCGAATACATTATTTCCATTTGAATTATACGCTTTATTTATATAATCCTCGAAGTGACTCCTGCGACAATTTTCAAAATATCTTTTCTAATTCTATTATTCTGTGCGTTCAGGAAACATCGACAGGTGCTAACTTCTTTCCACACTGAAGCGACTCCTGGATTTTTGAAGGGTTCGATAGGTTTATCTTATATCATTTGGAAGGTATAAGACATTATACGGTTTTTGGCGGTAACCTCACCAATGTCATACAAAATTAGTAAACAGACTAAGGCGAAGAGAGAGAATAAAGGACCGCTGCTTTTATTCACTTTCTGAAAATATTCCAACATACTTAGCGAATACTTAATGAATACTCTTACGTTGCCGCTAAAAGTTTCGCGGTCCCGAATAGAAACTGTAGAAATGACTGTGGGCTTACACAGCAAACGTTCATACACATCGGTAGATATCATGATAGCATGTGTATGAGTGAGGCAGATGGTAGTATAATACTGGTAGTTGTACAATGTGCACTACAAATCGTGAACAGAACTATGCTGGACAGTCTCACGAAAAAAGATCGGTTTTTCTCTAGTTGTTTTACATGTAGCTTTACAGATATAGCTGACGCCTACAGGGATAAATTTATTGTTAAATCAATTAGAATAAATTTCAGACAACTGATAATAAATCTAGTAGCAAAAGGAATGAGAACATATCCATCAAAGGTACACCAACCTTAACACTGGCGTACGATGCTATACGCTGCTCTCTTCCATTTTGGTACAAGACTATACATAACGATTCGAGCGTTTAATACCGCAAAGATTACACAACCGGCGCTGCCCATTGGGAATTGATCTCCTATAAATCACAAAGGTGAGCTAGTTTATAGTTTAAATCTTTGTCTTTGGCACTATGTACTGTTCACCGACTCTGGGCCCATTCTTGTCTTAAGATGTCCGTTGAGTTCTAGTATTTACAAGGTATACAAAACTTAAGTGGACATAGTTGAATGTAGTATTTATTAAATCTGTAATATCACATTTCTCGGCACTATCGATCCCGGTAAAATTTTGAAAAATAACAAAGTTACCTAGGAGTTCAATGATTAAAGAATCCAGGAGTGGATTCGACTGTTCTAATTTTTTCGTATTTTAGCAAAATCAACAACTCTGATGTTGATATGTCTGACCAAGTATTTCTTCAATTATCTTGTTTTTATCACTTTGTGTGACAAAACTCAAAATTTCAAACGTTACTATCTTGAGTTTATCAACATTTCACAATATAATGCTTCGAATTTATCTAAAAATGTATTGGGAACTCAAAATTTTAGGGCCGAATTCAGTTTCTGTTACATTAAATGCATCGTCCTGTAAGTAATATTCTGGACTTTATGTTGTTCAGCAGAGAAAACAGAAACAAATGATATAAATGAAAGGCGAGATTAATGTACCCTGTTTACTATTTTGGTTAGTTTGTAACGACTTAATTATACGAAGTGATGTACAAAAATCTGCAATCGAAGCTGCACATAGCTCCTTCATCTTCTGGCCTCCCAAAATACTGAACTGCAACGTCGCATTAGCGCCTAAGGTGGTTAAGCAAGAAGTGGAGAAATGATATGGACTATAGAAGAGTAGCGTGGATACATATATTGGTCGCCTCCAGACAGTAAATCAAAAACAAAAAAACCTATTGTATAGCGGCATGTGTGTGGGTGTATCTATCCAGTTGAAGGGTGGATGTAAAGCTGGACATACACGCTAATAAAATACTTGGCAGCCTGGCAACATTATGGATATTCAGATTCATGATTCCGCTACAATAAGATCTGTATGAATATTTTGATGAACAAATCATAATCAACTGTCTCTACCCACACTCCGCCGATACATGACGCGAATTCGTACCTAAAATCTCCCAGCGTTTGAGAAGCTTCATTCCATCCAGGGCCTTTGATTTCTTACCTTTCGTCTTTCATTCATACGCAATTGGTCTATAAAATGCTCAAGTTGATGATTCCTTTATTACCAACGGCAGATAATGATATATCAATTTTCCTATTTTTAAATCTTCAGAACACAACTCTTTAAAATACGAAATACACACACTCCTTAAAGTGTTTTGAAGGGTGCTCCATGTAAAATTTCTCTAAGAATTCTAGTTGCTACGCTCAAAACTCTTATTATTATTGTAACCTGTTTATCGCATGACCTTTCGGTAAATATTACCGTGTATGTTTAGCTTTTGCTTAGAATGATCCATCAGACGGCGGTAAAGGGGATCAAAGAAATAAACCGGCAATAAATTATACTCGATAAAAGAGGGACGCTCTACCTAAAGACAGGTCGCAGGACGGCGTGTTTCTGCTCCGCTGATTACTCATTGCCGACGGACTGTTTGATAACTGGTCAGTCAGTCTTTGCGAGCCAAAAACACAAAATACGGCGTTTGTCTTTGAGGTTGTAACTTTTCCTTTCCGCAAAAAGTCCAGAAAAGATGGAATGCAATGAAGATTCCAACTTTTCTGCACAATCACAGAAAGGGGGTTAACATTAGCTTCCGGTAGCTCAGTCGGTGGCATGAAGACATCTACAGGCGTGTAGCTGTGTGTCGACCATGGCATGGCTAGAGGATAGAAGAACAAACAGAACACAAAAATTTAACAGATTTTATTTAACAAAAAAAAAAGGCATTTTCATTAAATTACAATTTTACAAAAATAACAAAATAAGTTTTACATCTTTGGCGCTGCTATAACGCTATCGACTTATCTTTCGCTGGTCCATTTTTACTCGACTGAAGCCAGGATGGCCAGGGGCTTGAAGGGGAGGTCCCAGTTATGAGGGGTGACCTCCATATAGTGGCTTCACAACCAGTTGTAGGCGAAGTTAAAGGCGATGGCGCTGCCAAGGTACATGCATGGGTGAAAATATTGGCCAAGGCTAGGCAAAGTGAAAGGGAAAGGGGGTGGCCCCAATCATTTTTGTCCTATACGGACACACATTCTAGAAAATTCTAGCACATGGTGCTATATAACCTTGTGCTACTGAGAAGAAATTTCTAGCCGTTGTTCGATCGGCGGCTCAAGTGAAAAAAAAGCGCGAGGAAGATCGCAGATCAGGAACTCCGCATCAAGCGCTCCAAGCGGAAAATTTTCCAAGCAAAAAAGCTAGTGATGGGATTAATGAAATGATAATCGAGAAGTGATTTAATAAATACGATCGGACGGTGAAACCGTTACACTCGCCCCAACTTAACCAAAAAAAAAAAATCGAAGAAGCATTTAAGAATTTTTTTTTTTTACTAGGAAATTGAAAGTTATCACGGAAGGACAAATGTACAACCATTCGACCAGATAACACAAGTAGTAAAAGTAAGGTAGAAACAAAAATGTTAGAAGAGAATTGGAAGAAAAAGGGATAGCCTCAAGTCTACCAAACAAGAGGGATGGTTATAGCACCAACTCGCTGAAAAGTACAGTGAAGTTGCACTTAAAAAAAACTATCATCATATGATGAAAAACCCAAAACATAAAACATCGTCATACCTAAGACGAGAAAAATAATAAACCAAAAGTTTCAGCAGTAGTCCAAGCACGAATCACAATGGCATCCAAAATGCACGACTGACTACTAAAAACTTCAAAACTAAGTAAGTACCTAAACCATAAGAGGTACTAAAAAAATAATAATCTTTCTCAAAACAATTGCCAGATTATCTCGCAATACTCCAAACCCAAAAAGATTATGATCTACAGTGATATTTTAAACCAATATCCAATATAAAAAACTGTGCATTACTATTTTCAAAATATGAAAATCAAAAGAAATTAACAAATTCTATTAAGAATTCCAGTTATATAACAAAACAATTTACAAGTACTAAACCAATGAAAACTTGATCACGAAGGTATTTTAATCAAAAAAGATGTTAACTAAGTGCAGTTCTGATTCCACAAAAAAATTGTCGGGCGCCAGCAGTCTGTAAGACTACAAAATAATTCAAAATATTTTCAGAGAATTAAAGTATATAAGGGACATTCATGAAATATTGAAGTAAGATTTTCAAAGTCAAAATATAGCTTAAGTTCAATCAATGAACTAAAATTCAAGAGTAAGTTCAATCAAAATTTTCGGGTCATGTGACAACATAAGAACCAGACCAAAAAAAAAAAATTTGAAGTACAATATAGAAAAGAGCAAAATAAATTTCCAAAAAAACTAAGTGCAACACAAGTGCAACTGTAAATCTAATAGTGTTAAAATCATAAAGTGAAGGGAAATATTAAAGCTATATGAGCATGATTTTATAAAGGGTTCTCAAAAAAATTTAAAAGTAAGCAAAATATTAAAAGTTTCATGAGTAATAAATGAGAAACGAAGTGAGCATATGTAAAATGCAAAATAGCGAAACGAAAATCACAAGATATTTTATTAAATCATGATACATGAGAGTAATGCCGCAAGCAAAAATTGTATGCAAAAGACTACGATATATGTAGGTGCAAAATTGGAGTTATAAAAAAAATCTAGTGAACAAGAAATAGAAATAAATATGATACGTAAGAATTCGAATTTGGATTTAAAGCAAAAATATGAGAGAAAGACAACTTTCTAGGGTCACCATAGGTGCATTCCAAAGCCCTAGACAAGAATGTCTATAGTCTATGGAATATTTTCATGTAGATCACTGATATCATCAGCGCACTTCAAAGTCTACACTGAGAATAACCATAACATTGTAAAATGAAAGTTAAGTTCAAATATGAAATATTACAAAATTAGAAAAACTATAATAATTTACCAGTGTAAAGTATGGAAAGAGAATTACTATACTGAATCTATAAGAATTGGCGATTACTTCAAGTCAAGACAGAAATTGAAAGAAATAAGAAGCCGGAAAAAAGATTATGAGAGCAGACTATCAAAACAAATGCAATAATGCAAAAGCAAAATCACCAGATATTTCAAAATCTATAGCGAAACATGAAAGCAATGTCGCAACCAAGCTCAAGACTTAGCAATACGCACAAAT